GAGAGCAGAATTTAATAAAAAAATGTTTGCACTATTTTTAACTAGATTTATAATTATCGATAAATTTTAAGTTTCATAGTATCAGGGTTCAAAAATTATGAGCGTATAAAATGTGTAACCACCTTATATTAAAATGGGGACAAACTTTATTTGGTTGAACACTAAATAATATACTATAAAATTCAAAAATTGTCGATGAATATAAATCTAGTTAGGGATAATAGAACAAATATTTTATCAACTTATTGTTCTCCCATTTAGGGAAGGAGGACGAAACCTATGAGGCTCTTTTATTCCCATGCTCGAATCATTGCAAATTTGCATGGCATTTTTATTATTCATAAGTATTTCAAATAGCCCCCCCCCCCCCTCAAAAAAAAAAAAAAATTCGGAGCCCTAGGCCCAGGTTTTACGTGTCTTGTGGAAGATCAGGCCCTGTATATATAATCATTATATATGATACCAAATATATGAGAGTGTAAAAAAAAAAACAGTAAAAAAAGTTGGGTGCCTAGATTTGTAACAGGTATTAAATATAGATAATAGTTATCAGATAATTAGATTATGTGTTTTTAAAAGTATAAACAAATCACGCTCTGCTTGGAATGTTAAGTTTCTTCGAACAGCACAACTTTAAACTTTTAAATACATTTTTTTATCTTATTTGAATTAAATATGTAAAAAAAATATAAAAGGTTTTTCGCGGTTCTTTGCCTGTGTCATATATATATATATATATATATATATATATAATAAATAAAAAAGAATTTAATTTAAATTTAATTCTTAATAATATTGAATGCAACGTTTTGCCAATTAAAGTTCAACGTTGAATCAACGTAAATACAACGTAAAATGCAACGTTGGGCCAACTTAGAAAATAAAATGTTGAATCAACGTAGAAAATGTAACCATTTTCCGACTTTAAATAAACGTTTTATCAACATTGGTTTTTAGTTGTTGGCGACGTCGCATTTGTAACCATAATGATATAAAAACAACGTTGGCAGGCAAAGTTGGGCCAACGAAACGTGCGACATTGTTCTAACGTTTTAACAACGTATGTGTGCTAGCTGGGAAGCAGCATGTTTAAAGAAATAAAATGATGCATTAAAAGGAAAATATCATAATCAAATCCAAAACCTTCTTTAAAATGCAAGTAATTTTAATAACGCATGGAAACGTAGACAGCATAAGTATATATTGTATGTATATAAGCATATATATTGTATAAATATTGTATATAAATAAGTATAAACACTGTTAAAAAAAATTTAATAAATTCTTCACAGAAATCGGAAAAAAACTTTCAAACAGAATTCCAACTACTGATAACTCATTTATAGGCTTTTTATTCACTAGACACGATCTAAATACCGATTAATTAAACACGATCTAAATATCGATTGAACTAACTCCCGTGGAGTTTAAAATTTCTTTTAAGAGATTAAAAAACTCCCGACGAATTTTGAAATCTCTTAAAAGAAATAAAGCTACTGGCTTTGACAAAATAACTAGTAACATAATTATTAATTGCTACGAGAACCTAAGTGATATACTTTTCAAAATTTTTAAAGCATCTTCAAAACAAAGGATTTTTCCGGACAAATTGAGTATAAAATAATATAAGTGTAAAAGCCTTTGATACCGTCGATCATGAAATTTTACTGCAAAAGCTCAATTATTATGGGATAAATGACATTCTTTTAAATTGGTATAAAAGTTATTTAATAAAATAGAAAACAATTTGTCCCCGTTAATAACAGACGCTAAAACGAAATGACTCAAATAATTTGCGTTGTTCCTCAAGGCTCGATTCTAAGGCCTCTTCTTTTTTAATTTATGTAAATGATATAAATAAAGAATCAAACTTAAAAAACATCATATTTGTTGATGATACAAATTTATATGTATCAAATTGTAGCATTACAAAACTGTTCTACGAATTGAATAAAGAACTTAAATTTATCTCTAACCGTTTAAAATGTAATAAATTAACTTTAAATATAAACAAAACAAAGTATATTCTTTTTCACCCATTATCGAAAAAACGTTTTTTGCCAAACCTATTTATTGATAAAATTAAAACAAAAAGAGAAACCGTCACAAAGTTTTTTTTGATGAAAATGTTACATGGAAAACTCATATTGACTACATTAGCAATAAATTTGCTCAAAGTATTAGCATCCCATTTAAGATTAGATTTTTTTTAGATAAAAAGAGTTTAATGCAACTCTACTACTCCTTTATACACAGTTATATTTTTTTAATTTTTTTATTTTTCAATTTTTGAATTTTCTTTGCCGTTTAATAAAATTTACAATAAAAAGGATCGTACTCGTAAAATAAATGGCCGGAGCAAAAAGAAGACGTTTTTTCCCTGTT